TGAGTGATTTTCAGACATCCCACATACATATTTGCCTAAATATTAGGAGAAACATTATTTCCTGACATCCAGGATATTTGGTTCCCCCCTGTTAAAACAGGTATACAGCAACTCTGGGCCTCGGTACTAATAACAATACAGTATTCACATGTAATAATGTACTTGAGTGATTTTCAGACATTTCACATACCTCTTTGATTTAATATTAGGGGAAACATTATTTCCCGATAGACAGGGGAAACATAGGGAAACCAAATTGCCCGGAACACCTGTTCGGATCCAAACTAGCTTCGCAACCTCTGTTTTCTTCCGACGAAGAATAAAAAATATCGAACGTTTTATCGAACACATTTTTTATTGATATCGATCACGTGTCTATCGCGATACATATCGTAATCGTTTTATCGCCCAGCCCTACTTCAAACCACACTGTGTTTTTATGTTGGCCATAAGAAGGTGCATCGTTGACTGTGTCCGGGTTAACTTGCGGTCCCCTCTGCATCCGGACCGTGATCCGAACTTTGAGAATCCTGTAGAGAGTCCGGAGAAGTAAGATCACAAGTGCGAAGCTGATTTTAACCTGCTTGTTGGTTGTCCCCCCCCCCCCCACTCCAGAACACTTCCTTAATGGTTACTTTTGTGAATCAGGTGTGCCTTTTATTCATCGAACATCTATGGAATGGCTGGTAGTCCCTTAGGTGAAGCTTGCTGTAATAAGTTATTTGAAACTTGATGACTTCTATTCTCAACCATGCAGTCAAGCACACTGTCCCCTGCCTGGATAACTGAAGGGTCGTAAGGGAAGACGACCAATAAGATCTGCCACAAACCACATTGTCACCCCTGGAGTTAACAGGCGAGAACATTCTGCTCATCTTGATGGTGATATGTTATAGGGCAGGGTTCCTCAACTCTGGACCTCGATTCCAAATCCAGGCTGTGTTTTCCGTTCCCCCAGGTAGTTGTTTAATAATTACTGATTCTTGATTGGTCAGAGGCTTCACACCTGACTGACAGGTAAAGAAAGGCTGGAAAACCAGCAGTGCTCGGACCTCGAGGACAGTGAGTTGAATAACCCTGTTATAGGGCATGCTCTGTGTGAGGGTCTGGCCATGGAGCCTGCATATCTCATTCCGATGTCGGAGGCAGGTAATGGTAGAAAGCATTTTTCTGCATGCATCAACTACAATGGAGCACAAGGCAACAAAGGGAACCGAGAGGCTTGAGCTCCATTTAAAAACCACATAGTCTGGAAGCCGCTTGGGCCTGAGGCCTGGAAAATATGCCTTCAAAGGCACGCTTTATTACCGCCTTGCCAAAATCTGTCTGCAGGAATGTTCTCAGGCGCCCCCTTGTGTTCCACTATGATATAACACTTTCCAGATGTTTTTTTTTCTCATATGGGATTCAGAGAAGAGATCAATTGGTGTGTTTTTTTTTTTCTTTCTTTCTTACCCCCACCCTCCCACCGCCAAACACATGTTGCCTGGTACAGGTTACCTGATGGTGCCAATCAGGTGACTGGTGCCCTCCCTCGTCCAGCAGGAAGCAGTGCTTGCTGATTGCTGCCGCATTTCAGTAGAAGGGGCCTTTTATCCTTCATGTACCCCCTCCCCCCCAAAGCTGTCACGGACCCCCGGCTTGTTCACTTGCGCATGGTGCTTCAGTCGTCCCTGTTAGGTGAGTAAGACATGCTTTGAGTCAGATCCTCCCTTCCACGGTGCGGGATAACCACGTTTGGGAAGCTGCATTCATGCTGTTTCATTTAGAAGGTTGTGTCTTTTTAGAGTTAGGAAAGCGGAGATCGGGGCCTCTGTGCCTGAACCTGTCTGTAGACTTTGGGGTCAACAGCCGCAAGGATTTTTGTTTTTTCGTGAGAGACGATGGTGAATCTTATGACCTGACCTCACCAACCCCGAATGACCCATGGAGTTGTCACTGAGACCTCTAAAGGACCCAAAGCCGCCCCGTCACCATCTGGATGATGATGACGATGTGAATCGCTCTTTAATGAACTCTGTCCTTGAGTATAGTCCTGTGATTCAGACAGTATTGTGCTCATGTGTATTAGACATATTCAGAAGTTCGTATGCCTCATTCTGGGAGGAGATTATTTAGATGTGGCGTCTTCAGAGTTTTTTTGAATGCCTTTTGTTTGACAGTAGAAGTGAGGCACTTGGATGCAGCTCCTTGAATCTGGTGGGGGGGACGGACGGATGTGGACATGTTTACACTAGGAGAGGTCAGCTGAAAACAAGAAGGGAGGGGACTTGAGAGGCAGTGATTTTGTCGAAGATCCACACTTTCTAACTTTTGGGTTTAATTGAGCTGGAAGGAGGCTGTAATTCTGTAGCATTTAGGACGCTAATGTGTTTCGTCCCAAAGAAGCATGACTCCTCCCCCCCCGGCCCAATGTCGTGCTTCGTTTAGTATAGAGTTACACATAGAAGACTTTGGCCCTTCTGGATGGTGGTTACTATAAAAGTATTGGAAATCCATTTTTCACAAAGGATTCTTTCATTGGCCCCAAAAAAAACGAGATTTCCGTTGTTCCCTGGGGAAAAATAATAATCTGGCTGGGACCTGGGTTTTCAGAACTGGGTTTGTTCTTTGGGAGATCCTGGCGAAGCTGTGGATTCCGGCCGCTTGCGAACGTCAGCTGCTAGCGGCTGACAGATGTGCAGCGTCCTGCTGCTGCTTTCGTCACACGTACGGTTTCACACTTAAGCTGATGTCTCGGTCTG